TAAAACCAAACCAGAGTCGCGGTGCCTCAGTCCTGCTTCGGTGTGGGTGGCGCGCGGCTGTGAGGAACGGAGACCCCGGTGTGACAGCAGCAACACGCGGCCCCACAGGGGCTGCAGGGCCCCAACCGCCCCGAGCGATTCCCGTTCCCTGCGGCCGCGGTGCCGGTGCCCGGCCGAGTCCGTCTGTCCGGCCCTCTTGGCAAACGGCCGCCTCTTCCACTGCATGGAGGTGCCCCCAGCGGCTGGGCCCGTGCTGGAAACCCTGGGGTGCTGCAGCCCCAGGGGGCAGGAAGGAGGGGACAGGGGATGCTCCCCTGTCAGCCCCGCTGCGTCTCATAGAGACCTTCCCTGTGGGGAATCCAGGGAGGTCCTTTTACTCCTTTTGGACAACTTCTGTTAGATTAAAAATCAAATTGCAGCCTGCAGCAGAAGCAGCAGCAAAAGCAGAGAGACAAAAAACCAAACCATCCCCTCCCCACCACCAACAGAAATGCAAATAAAAGTTCCTTGGATCAGCTGGAGGAGCTGACCAGGAGCTTCCACAGCTAAAAAGCAGCTAAAAGGTCATCAGCAGGAGCCCAAGGAGCGTTGCTGAAGGAGCTGGGCAGCAGCTACAAAAATAAACTAGAAAATGGGTTCCAAAGTGGTGTGAAATGACCTGAAGAGCCTGATGGCTGCAGGAAGAGGCCGAGCGGAGCGGCTGGGGCTGCTGCTCCCGGCGCAGGGAGGCTGCAGCCGGCGGCTCCGGCAGCAACGGCCCCTTCGCGGCTGCCTGTGGCCACGGGCGCTTCCTAATGCGAAGAGCCAGGTTCAGGGCAGGGCATATGTCAAGAACTGTGGCCCCTTTATGTTACTGGGATGTATGACAAAAAATGCAAAAAACTAGAACACCTACCCTCTCCCTCTGGCCTTCACACACAGATCCAGCTCGCAAAGCAGATTCTGTTTGTGTTTTGCATCTGTCCGACCTCAGTTTTCAGCTGCTGCACTCCCGCCTGCTCCCTTGCAGCTTAGAGCCCTTCTGGAATTGCTGTTTTCTCCCCGTGAAAGGACTTAGGTGCTGCGGTCAAACAGAACACGTAGTTAAGCAGCAGTTGAGAAGTTAAACAGACTAATCTCCTCAAATCTCCCTAAATCTTTCATAATAAAGCACTTTGTCCAGCTCTCAGGATAATTTCACCGTTATCTCTACCCCGCCAACACGCACACGATGACTTTTCAAAACAGCCCCTTGGAAAAACACGACAGCAGAACAGGACGGGATGTTCCCCCGGCGCTTCCCGGCTCCTTCCCTGCGGAAGGGCAGCGGAGGGGACGCGCGCCCAGCTCGGCAGCACCCCGGGACGGCCAGCAAGGCACAACGGAACACAGCTCTTGGGAAGAGGGGGACGGCCGCGGGGACCCAGCGACGGCGCGGGCCGGCGTCCGCGCTCCCGGCATCCCGGAGCCGCCGGTGCCGCTCGGAGCGGTCGCTGCCTCCTGGCAGGGTGCGGAGTCGCTGCTGAAGAAGCACAACCAGAGTTTACACTGTAAAATGAAAACTTTCATTGTTTTATTCTTGACTGCAGCTGTTTACAGAAATATAGTTGCGAGTATACAAATGTCCCAATAGAAGCAAAATATTTTATTTTTTTTTAATATTCAACAAGTTATCACAGAATAGCTAAAAACATAGATGCAAATGAAATATCCCCTCAGAGAACAAACTGAAAACACCGGGTATCAGTGCTTTGAAACCCCCCACTACGAAAGCCATATACACAGAACGCACAAAGGAGTATCTGGTGCTACTTTCACATTGCAGGACGATGGAGAAGGCAGCTCAGTGGGTGATCAGTGCCCGCCAGAAAGGCTTGGCAGAAAGGCCAGGGAACCGCTCGAGAGGACGCAGCCGGCGCCGGGAGAGCCCGGAGCCGCTCGGAGCCGACCCGCGCTCACCTGCAAGCGCCTCGCTCCTCCCAGCAGAACAGCAAAGCTTCCCGTGCCCCGTACTCCTTTCAGGAGGACATTGGAACTTGTTTTGCCACCCGAAACACCTAGAAACGCTGCGGTGTTATCAGCTGAGCCTTGCACCCGCTCGGGGCGCCGGGACGGCAGCGCGTGTCCGCACGGGCCCCCGGTGCGCTGGGACGTGCTGCAGGGTCCAGGGAATAAAAAAAGAAGTTAAGGCAGTTTAAACACCCCAACACGGGGCCTTTTGCTAACCCGAAAACAAAAGCAGGCGCCCACAACTGGGACACTGCCGAGGACCTGCAGGAGACGGATGCGAAGCCCTGGGAGCAGGGAGAGCGGCAGGGCCCTCACCCCGGCCCCGGCACCTCGGGGCTGGGAGGCAACTTCTGCTTTCGGGGTGGGAGAGGTGCTTTGCTCAAGCCTGTGCCACGATGCCTATTCATTAACCTATTTTGAAATTGCAGTGCAATAGAGCACGTTTGGCAAGAAAAGCCTTGGGGGGCAAAATACATTCTATTGCTTTTAAAATCTGGATCTCTTTTAAAGGGTTTAATTTCTTACACTTTTAATTTCTTTCTGTTAGCAAGTCAAAGCAATGGTCCTCACACCTAGAAAATACCCAAGGAGAACGCCTGCTAGCTTCTATTTCTTCAATACAAACTCAGTTAAAAAAACAACAACAAAAAAATTGCAAGATGCGTTGCCCTATAGGCAAAAATCGGAGTAAACAGAAAAGGAATGAGCTACAGATCGGGTCTCATCGCGGTTCCAAGGCAGCCCAGCTGAGCAGCAGCCAGGTCCTTCGCTAGGTGAGAAGGACGAAGGACCCCCCGTGTCTGCCCAGTCCTCGGAGCCGCTGCGGGGGCTCCCGGACCGGCACCGTGGGGCTGGGAAGGGCAAAGGCCCCACAGGGAGCAGGGAGCAGCCCCAATGGGAGCGCGGAGGGAGCAGGTGCCCGGGGGCTCCTCCAGCCCTCGGGTGGGCAACGCTTCCCCCACAGCCGTCAGTTCTACTGTTCTAACACCGTCTACGCAGCGACTAACAAAAATATATACAAAATACAAAAGAAAAGTCTACAGCTGTTTCAATAAGTCACTTCACTTTAACCCCGTGGGTTTTGGCGAGGAGCTCAAGAGCAGGGCGCGTTTCGGGAACAACACTAGCACTAGCACCACGCGACAGGACTCACCGGTGTTGATACGGCTATTGATCAGCTACTACAAAAACCTTGGTAAATAACCTCCAGCTAAGGAAATTATTTTAGATTTATAAAAATGTAAATATATCCATATACTATGCATGTGTATACTAATTATTTATATACGTAATAGATATATGATTCTAATATATACATATAAACAAGCCTGGGACACTCAGGCAATGCATATTTACACACCTATACAGATTCTATGAAGGAAAAGCCTCTCCTGCGCAACCCCTCAGCACTGAACGCCCAACTGGGAATTTCTGAGCACGTTTTTCTGCGTTTTTCCTTGTATCTGGACAGTGCCCAGCGCATTCCGGAGAGCCCTGGCTTGGCTGTGGCGGCTGTTGGGCACCGTCGCACACCGGCACGGCGGTGCGGGCACCCGGCACGGTGACAGGCAACAGCCGGACACGCGGGCAGGGGAGCAGCCACCATTCCCACCACCAAACAGAAAAGCACTTGATTCCTTGGAAGTTAGTTTTGCTCTTAAAGAGAAGTCGCTAGTGAACAATTTGTATTTCCCATCTTTTCACTTTCCACCTGTATCTCACAGCTCAGAGCACCCTAAGCAATTCACCCCCCTAGTTCTTGTTTCCATCACTCCAATAAATGTGTAGAACCCTTCAAAGTCCTCTCCTGTGACTACCCTGAACGGGTAAGCTCAAAAATTTGTCCTACAGATTTGAGATCTGAAATTGGACAGTGCAACTCTTGACTGTTAAAGAATGTGCACATGCGTTCACACACTCACATATATACATATATTTGGAGGCAACAAATTGTAACTTTTTATGCCAATAAGACTTTTTTTTTTTATTTTAAAATAAATCTCTACTGCTACTCCATTAGTGCTTTAGCTCATGTTCTAGGGGAAATGCAAGCTCCTGACCCATTTGGTATTTATTTGAAGGCCATGGAAAGACAGAGTAGGAGGTCTGCCAGAACAAGGAATTTCAATTTCTTTTGAGGAATTATATCCCAAATCAAAACCACAAAAGAAGCTTAAAAATGCTCAACTTGGAAAAGTTGGGGGAATGTCCATGGATAGAGCTGCCCAGGCTCTTAGTATTATCACTGAAAGCATTGCCAAGGTTACAAAATACCTAATAGCTCATGTTTTATTTTGCTTTAAAGTAACCATCCTGCCAGTAATTAAAATTTACAATAAAACGCTTGGTGGTTAAACATCTACTTCAAAACAGCAAGGCTAAAATTATTTCCTGAACTGTTTTTCTGCTAAAGTACCAGCAAAGCATTTGGCTTGAGCATCTGCTGAAAGAGAAGACAGGAGGCAGTTAATGACAGTGAGCGAAGCTGCCAGTTAAACACCAGCAACCACTTCTTGCCAGAGGAAATGGTCAGCCATTAACTTAGTGTACTATACTATTCACGAGAACCATTATTTCTTTAAAAATGGGCAAGAGGAGGGGGTGGAAGACGAGGCTGCGGGGACGGCGCCGGGTGCCGGGGGCTGCGGTGTGGGCACAGAGCAGGGCACCACCTGCAAAAACAGCAACGCTCAGACTGCCTTTTTAAACAAACCCCAAGCAGCAGAGAAGGGAAATATAGAGAAAATCTATCCTAGCACTGCGGCTGTACAGTTTGTTTGTTTGTTTGTTTTTTCACCTGGAAATATTGTCTGTAGCCAATTGTTGCTCTGTGGACATACTAAGTTCTCCTTTCTAGTAATGGTAGGAACTTGAATTTCAGAGACTCACCCCTCAGCCCTTCCCAACCTTCCCAACCAAAGGGACGGGGCGCGATGCCGCTGCCTCTCGCGGGCCGGGGAGCACGTGCTGCAGCGCGTAAAGGTGCAGGAAACAAAACGCAGGGCAAGCTCCAACCCCCAGCTGCTTGAATCACACAAGGAAACAGGACTCGGATAAAATCCAGACGCGGCTCACGCTGTTCTCGGGTCTTTCTGCCATCAAATCCTGCAGGTTATCTTCAGGCTCCTTCTTGGCTCTCAAACCTTTTCCGTTAGCCCCTGTAACGGCTGCTGGCAAACAGCAGTTCGGGCACTAATCAACCACTGAGCAACCTCTTCGTTCATAAGACAAATACTTTTTGTAACCAAATCACATGTTCAAAGTGTTGTACATTTAAACATTGACCTAAAATGGACAAGATAAATTTAACACAAGAAAGAAAGGTGTTATCCAAAAGTGAAAATGTGAAAGCACAGCCCTTGTTATAAGCAACCTAAAATATGCACACGATTCAAACACCCCCTCGCCCTGGAGCTTTAGCAGTCTCGGTAAAACGTTATCTGTTGGACACCCATATTATTGGATGGAGAATTGGTCCCAGGTGACTTGGCACTGACCAACAGCATTTCAAAACATGGATATTTCCCTTCAGAACGACACGGAGCAGCGTACGAGTGCATTTATCATCCCTATCACTTCTGTGTATGAAGGCCCAAGCTGATGCCCAACGGCTGGTCCTGGGACTGGGAACTGCAGGAGTCGCCAGCTTATTTGGAATAACTGGTTATCGACTTCCACAGTCATCTGGAAGCTGGTTCAATCCATAACACCCAGTCTTCTACATATCCTCATAGAGCATTTAGCCAATGCTGCAAGATTGCTCTTTTCATATCATGAACCATAACAGGGTCTAGTTACATATTTTCTGAGTGGGACACAAAAAAAAGAAAAAAAAATCACAGGAAGAAAAAGTATGGTTCAGAGTTAAAAAGCAGTTCTGGACATTATGAAGCAGGGAATTGTTTTTTATCATGATTAAAATTTCAAACATTTTAGCATAATTATAAATTAAAAAGTTAAAACATAAAGGCGCTAAAATAATAAAATATTAAATAGACAATGATAGTGGATAAAAGCTGAATGGCTCATTCTGAATGAAACCCATCACTTATATATGCCTAAATGCCTACGGGTTTCCTTACTAGATCATATTGCTGAGTGACAGACACATCAAAACACACAGTGAAGCTTCCCATAGCCAGTCGGAACAAGAAATTGCCTGATGGAATGGCGAGAGATGAACAAGTTATTTATGTTGCAAAAAGTACTTAAATACTCAATAAAGACATAACAAACCCCACCCCACCCCACTGTTATCAGACGCCACGTTGTGGTAGAACATCAGACAAACTCACAAATTTACCACAAAAATGTGTGGCAAAAGAATATTTTATATATATGTATATATATAAATTTTTATATTTATGCCAATGTACTCACTCAGTACAAATAGCAAAATAGTATACCATTTCCTAAATACAAAATATAGCTTTCCAAAAAAATGAAACACACATTAGATATAAACCATCCAAAACTTGAACGATTGAAAACTGTATTCAAAATTAAATGACCCAGAGCAGGTCTCTTTCTGAAAAGTTCCCTTCATATCGGCAAGAAGCCTTACTACTGAAAACGTAATTCAATGCCTCTCAATGAGAGAGAGAAAGAGAGAGACAGAAAGAGCAAATGAACAGGACAGACTGACAAACAGGAAAAAAACATTAAGACCAACAAAAACTCTACACGGCTCAACTAAGCACACACATCGGGGAAAAACACACAGGAAACGGGCCAGAGGAACTCGAATCCATTTACAGACTATTCTTGGTTATGCAAAATAACAGAATGGAAAAGGACATGACAGCAGCTACAGGCCACCCAGGCAGGGCTGCCGGCTCCAACGGCATCGGCAGCTCCCACGCGCAGGACAAGGAGAGGAGATTCCCAGCGAGGCCGGCGGGAGCTCCCGGGAGAGCCGGGCGCCTCCACGCAGCTCCACGGGCTGGAGTGGGTGATTTTTACATTCTGAAACATGCGTCTATTTTTTTTTCCTGATTGAAACACGGTAATGTAGAAGCTCTAGGTAGGGCACTGCCAGGAGAAGCCACCTCAAATCCATGTGAGCTCAATATGATACAGAGACACGGCAGCTCGAGGCCGGGTGAAATTCTCCAGAACGCTTAGAAATGCTGTGATTTCCCCTCTGTTTGGAGTTAAGCTAAGATTTCCATTGGCAACAGGTGGAAAATGACAGGTAAAGAGGATTCTGGCATTTGGAGGGTGGTGGGAAAATCACTTCTCTCCTTAATCCTTGGTTAGTTGTCAAAGCTTCTACTGACTAAGCAACTCAACAGCACAAAGGCAGGTGCCACAGATTCCTAAAAGCTGCTTCAGATCTTCAAAGCCAGTAGGATAGTTGTATCTTTTCTTAAAAAGAAAGAAAACCGATATGAAACTGAGGGAGGGAGAAGGAAAAAAAATGAAATGAAAAGCCTGTTTTGAGCATGGGCAATGCAGCTGTAACGAGTTCTGACCTAAGCGGCCAGAGTGAGAGACATGAAGGAGTTTCCTCAGCCATGCAGATTGTTCCTTTCAATCTCAAGGTATCTTAGAAGGTAAAAATTTAGAGCGTAATTTATTTTGAAAGTTCCCCTTCATTTCTTCCTTTTGTTAGAGCCACCAAACTTATGTACAATTACATGTAAGAGACATATAAAACCGTTAATCACATTCTCAGATGGGAAGCACCCACCCTGTCTGGCTATCTACAGTAACAAGCAATTCTCTGCTTGGTTGTTATGTTTATCGGAATTTTCTTTATCACCTACAGCAGTTCCAAGCACGGTACTACTCTCCCGCTCTACTTTAAAATGTGTGATCCCTTCAGTGATGGACAGCTATGCTATGAGTCACAGCTCAGGTCACAAGCATCTGACATTTCTGCTTCATAAGCTTGTCTAGTCAAGTGAGGAGATGAAAAGAAGGAAGAGAGGAAAAAAAGTAAACGTGGTAACACGTACTATTTTCTAACAACAATAATAACTGACCAGATATGCTTTAAATTCAAAGAGAGCCCCGCTGTTAGTGAGGTCTAGGAACCTGGAAATAGCACAGTTCCACGCCCCAGTAAAACAAAGCATAGCTTTTCAACCATTATTGGCACCAGGAATCTCAAATACTATGGTTAGAGCCTTAGGTGCAATACACTGCAGTAGGCCGCGTATGTGCTCTTTAGAGAAGAGGGCCACTTTTTGACAGAAGCAGGCAGTTCCACACAGCCTAATCCCGAGTCACAAGGTCTGAGAGGATCAGGGAAATCGTCATCTTTTTCTTCATAGATTTTCTGCAGGAAGAAAACAAGTAAGCAAAAAAGTTAAGCTAAACTAACAAAAAGCATCCTCTGATGTGTAGGTAGTTCCTTCATCTTGAAAATGCCATTCACCAGCAGAAACAAATCATGAGCAAAGAGCACACTGCAGCACACCTGCATAGAACAGGACAAGGAGGATTATCCTCTGCTATATATATATATATATATATATATATATATATTTCTTAATTCCCAACATCATTTAACAGTTTAGTTTAGAAATTGAAGCGTACCACTTAAGTGAAACTTAAGGGGGATTCTGGACAGCAAAACAGTTTCTAAAACCAAGTTACGCACAGTGGACCACACCGGACTCCAGAGCCCTTCTGGACTTGGTGCTTATTTGCAAGCAAAGCCTTTTCCAGGCCTTGGCACCTTCTAAGGTCAGAATGTGTTCTAACAAGTGCCAACTGCACTAGCTCATTTTGAACAGTCTCGGCATGTGGCGCTCACACAACCCTCCACATCCTCTTTTCTTGCACCTCTTTTCTCTTTATATTATTGTAAACAGGAGGACAATTACAAAAAAGTCCCAATTTCAGGCGTA